ACCCTCCGCGCCCAGCCTCACCTCCTCCAGGCAGCCTTCCCTGATCTCCACACCCAGAGCAGGGTGAGCTGCTCCCAGGGGACTGTCACCCTTGGCCCCCGGGAGTTCGGGGGTCCTCTGCGGGAGCAGCTTCCACGGGAGTGGGGGATTCTGCAGGGCAGGACCGCGTCTCGCCTGCTGCCCGATCCCATCCCCCTGCTCCAAACATTCAGTGGCGTGAGATCAGTCCGCCTGTCGGGCATCTGTCCACCCGCTAGTCCATCCGTCTGCCCATCCTTCTGTCTACCCGCCCGTCTGAACGTCCACCTATCCCTAAGTTCACCCGTCCCCCCGCTCGTCTGCCCACCCGGCCAACCATCCCTCTCTCCCTGTCTGTCCCTCTGTCCACCCACCTGGTCGCCGTCCCTCTGCGCACACACACCCACTCCCCACCGTGCTGTGCATGTGAGCTGCAGAAATAAGTGGATGGGGCCTGCCCGGGCAGAGCCAGGGGTTCGGGACTCCCCAGGCTGGCCCGGCCAGGTGTGCTGCAGGCCACTGCCTCCTGACCGCCTCGGTGCTGCTCACCTTCTCTCCCAGGCCCCGGCCCCTCGCAGATCCTGAGCGGACACTCCCGGCCTCACCCACGTCCTCTCTCCAGCCTGGGCCCATCTAATTAAGCGGCAGTGAGATTAGTCTGTGAGCAAGACGCTCTCTCCATCTCTGAGTACCCTAGAAAGTTCCAGAAGCTCATACACCGCATCTGCTGGCAGAGTAAGCAGAAGCATCCAAGCCGCCAAGAACTCTCTCGGGTCACAGCCGGGAGCACCCACGTGGCCATCCCCAAGGCAGCTCCTGCTGCCCGGCTCCAACATCGCCCACGACGCCGTCTGCGCCCCAGCCTGGTCCCGCTACACTGGGGACCCGGGTCCCCACTGCCTCTCCGCCCAGACGTGTCATCTGGCACCCACATGGCAGAGGGAGACCTCAGCTCCTGCGGCCAGGATTATCACACACTGTGACCTGTGACACCCTTCAATCTTGTAATGCACTCGGCACATTACCCAGGTGACGTGAACTTAAAAAAAGAGAAATTATTGAATACTAGGAGCAGAACCAAATGCCAGGGACCCCCCCCACACACAAACACACACGCACGCGCATGTGAACACACACGCATAAACACACGCACACACATGCACACACATACACACACACATGCACGCACACGTGAACACACACGCATACACACATGCACACACATGCACACACATGCACACACATGCACGCACACACGTGTGTACACACACACGTGCACCTGCAAACACACGCACACATGCACACACATGCACACACACAGGCACACAGGCACGCATGCAGGAAACTGGCAGTGACCCTTGCTGTCATTTCAACGTTGCAAGGTGAGATGCACCATTCAGTGGCCAAGGCATCAAAGGGCCTCATGATAGTTATGGAACCTCGCCAGGGACACAGGCTGGTGGGTGCACATGCCCGGTGCCAGCCGGGGCTCTGCAGGGGGCTCCCATGGACCCTCCCGGGGCCTGGACCCCGGCCAGGCTCTGATGCCAGTAACCCTGTCACGGACCAGAACACACAGACGCACCAAGCAACTCACTCAAGCCCAAGAGTCGACCCGACGGCCGCTCAGCCCCATCCTCCCAGGCATGGGGCCCGCCGCTCCCTAACACGGCCCGAAAGCTCCCCTGTCATCTGAGGTCTCGCTGTCCCATCACCGTGACTTCACGAGATGCAAAGTCCGGAGAGCCACAGAGCAGGAAGCTTCAGCGGCGTGGCTGGGAAGGGCGGAGGCCAGAACCTGGACCACGTCACCACGTCCAGCTCCTTCCCTGTGGGGCCACGGGGCCCAGGCCACTATTTTCAAATGTTCTCTAAGAGAAACTCATGGTTTATGGCCAGTAAGCACTGGGTTTGCAGAGCTATTTTGCAGGCCTTTACACCCGCGGTCACGGAAAAAAGTTTTCCCGTGAAAAGAGGCCACGGGTGGAGACAGTGGCAGAAGGCGAATGGAGCGGCAGTGTCCACCAGGGGGCGCTGTGGATGCGCTGACCGACGAGCTTGGGACGCCCATTCAAAGCCATGGGGATGGTGTCACCCTGGGGAGTCTCCCAGGGAGGGGAACCCCTGGGCACACACAAGATGACTTTAAAACGCGCCTGCACGAATTTACGTATCTTCCCAGGAAGTCTAGTCTTCTGGGCTGGAGCTAGAGCACAGTTGGCAAGACGCTTGCCCGGAGGTGGCCAGCCCAGGTTCCGCCCTCAGCACCCCACAGGGTCCCCTGAGCCTCACCAGGAGTGAGCCCTGAGCACAGGCTGAGAGGGAGCACTGAGCACAGAGCCGGGAGTCAGTCCTGAGCACAGAGCCCGGAGTCAGCTCTGAGCACAGTCAGGAGTGAGCCCTGAGCACAGAGCACAGAGCCGGGTTGTTTCTCCCCCCACACCTGGTACCTCGGAGCTCGAGTCAGGCCAGTGCCAGGGAGGCGCCCAGGCTGCAGGGCACCCCAGCTCCCATCCAGACCCGACAACGGGGCGCTATACGGGAGCTGCCTACCAGAGATCTGAGAGTGACCTCAGGAGGCCACGGTCCCACCAGGACAGGCTCCCGGTCCAGTGCTCCCTCCTCAGCACGTCCAGAGTGCGGCCCTGGTGCAGAGGAAATCACATATGGGTCCTCAGTCAACAGCCACTGCCCTGCCCAGGCCCAAAGGCCCCTTAGCTCGTGACTGACTCTGTGCGGGCTCCTGGTCAGGGTCAGAGCAACTGGTGAAGGGGACGGCGTGGTGCCAGGCTGCCCCCGGCACAGACTTAGACAGCAGGCACGCGGCTGCCCTTCCAGACGCAGGTGGAAGCCCCTTCATGCAAATCAAGCGTGCAGCAGCCCAGGGGTCGGCGTCCTGCAGCAGCTCCCGTGAGTCTTCTCGGGGCAGGGGCATGGGAGCTGTGATCACAGCCTGGGGTGCGGGGCTTCACACACACACATACACACACATGCACACACACGTACACACATGTACACACATGCATACACATGCAAACACATGCACACACATATATGCACACATGTATACACACACACACACACACACACACACACAGCTCAGCCCAAGAGGTGCCTGTGGCCAGCCAATTGTATAACTGATATCCAAGCACAAACATTTGTAAGTCTACATCTGGTGTTTCACTAATAGAAATTTTTTTAAAATATTTTTAAAAATCAATTAATTAATTTAGAAAAGAAAAGAACCCCTCAGAGGGAGCCGGAACAATCCAGGAAAATACAAGGGTTTGGCAGCACTGAGGAGGGAGGGAATGAGGTACCGGGAGTGTTGTAAACGGGAAACGGCCGTCAGGACAGGAGGGCTGGCCGGAGGCCTCTCTGCCCACAGCAGGTGCCAGCAGCCTGGTGCCGGGAAGAAGGGGCAGGGTGCCGGGGCCAGTGCAGGGTGGCAGCCCTGGGCTGGGGAGGGGATGGGCTTCGCCCAGACAAGAGCTCTCAGGCCAGGTTGCGCAGTTCTGCCGAGGACCTGCAGGGGGCGCCGTAGAGCAGGCTGCCCGCCGGGTCCTGCTGGGGTCCAGGCCAAAGCCTGTACTGCTGACCGCACTGGGCTGGGGGGTCCTTATGGCGTCCCCCAGAACCAGGACCCTCTGGCCTTCCTGAAAAAGCCCCGGAATCTACACATAGCCTCTGTGTCAGCTGGTCCCTGATTCCCCCCCAGTCAGTGTGGGGGGTGGGGGGGCGTGCTGTGCTGGCCCCCGCACCCCCAGGGAGGGCCCCAAGAAAGGCATCCCGGGTCTGTGGTCAGCGCCACCACTCGGCAGCTGTGTGACCCCTGGGCTGATGCAGTACCTCTCTGAGCCCCACAGAGCTGGTCACTCACATCCAGCAGTGGCGACCACACAAGGGGGTTTCTGAGGAAGCTTCTCAGGACCCGCCTCAGCGGACAGACTCAGTGCAGCTGGAGGGCTGAGGGGCGGCCACGGGACGGGAAGCCGGCCTGCGGGACCGAAGGGAGGGGGGGCGTGGGGGGTTCCGGACGCCCTGCTCGGGCCGCCCCGCGCATCCCTCCTGTGCGTGCATGGACACGCGGGCCCTCTGCAGCCACTGCCCAGCCCCTCAGAGGAAACCCACCCGGCTCCCCGACGCCCAGACTCAGCACAGACCAGCCCCACACACAGCTCACGCATGCCGGCCTTTGACGGTCATGGCCCCACCCAACCCCGGCTCTTGAGCACCCTCAGCACTGTGCTCTCACCCTCCTCCTCCAGGGAGCCTTCCTTGATGCCAACAGACTGCAGAAGCCCATCACCCTCGAGGTCTTTCAAGGCGTCATCTGTGGAGCCCCTCGGGCCCGTAGCAATGTCATGCGGGAGCAGAGCTGACCCCCGCCGCCCGTGCCCTGGACACTGAGTTTTTGCAGGCAGGACAGGCTGGTCTGTTTCTCCCCATACATGAACAAAACCTGGAGCCTGGATGGAGGTGGTCAGGATGAGTGAATGGACGCCCTGGGGGCGGGGGACCTGCCTTCATGCTCCCTATGACCGGCGGGACGCGGATGGTGCCCGCCCGGGCAGGGCTGGGCCTGTGGCACCCTGAGAACTATCACCAGGTGCAGGACAGAGCTGTGAGGAGGTTGGGGGTCAGGGGCCAGGGGTCAGGGGCAGAGTCAGGGGCAGGGCGGGGCAGGACTGAGTACACAGCAGCCGTCCCGGGGATCTCACAAACAGGCTTCCACATCAGAGTCACAGGAGACCCCTGCCCCCCATCCCCTGCAGCCCAGTGTCCCCAGAGGCCATGCCCACCTGGGAGACACCCCAACACGCTCAGTGCCCCCAGCAGGGCCAGGGCAAGACGGGGTGCAGGACCCCCCCAGAGCCAGGCTGTCCCCGGCCCCGCCCCCAGCTCAGACCATCCAGCCGCGTCTTAATTTTAGCCTGGAGGCCGGCCACGGGCAGGAGAGGCTGAGCTATGCGGGACAGCTGTCCCCGGCGGGTGGGGCGCCGGCCGCAGACACTGATCGCTGTCCCTGCCCGGGTCTGGCCAGCGGCTCGGCCGAGCTGCCCGCGCCCCCCGCCGTCCACCATGATGACCGAGGAGCGCAATGACCTGGAGGCCCGGATCGTCAGGGACGTCCACAGCAAGGAGATCGACCTGGTGAACAGGGACCCCAAGAACATCAACGAGGACATCGTGAAGGTAGGGGGCTGCAGGGGACCCCGGGGGCTGGTGTCTCGGGTCCCCACATGCCCACAGGTCCCGAGCCAGCAGGCGGCACCCAGGAACGCGTCCGCAGAACCGAGTGGCGCTCATGTGGCCGGGGCCAGTAGGAGGAGGTGACAACGGATCCACCTCCTGACGCCTTCCGGCCACCGCCCGGGCCCAAGCGCAGCCAGGCTGAACCCTGTGACCGGGCCCTCCGCTGTCTCCTGTCAAGCCCGGGGGGCCGGGCAGGCGTGTCCAGGTGGCACTGCCCAGCGCTTGGACCCAGGAAGTGCCCCGGGCTTCCACTTAGCTTTCTGGCCCCAGTCTCGCGTCCAGCCCGGCCCTAAGAGTGGACGCTCCCAGGACGGCAGCCCTGGGCTGTGTGTCCAGCCTTGCCCAGCCGCCTGGGCTCTTTCCAGGGCAGGGTTTCTGGGCAGTGCCTCCAGTGGGCAGCAGAACAGGGCTCGGCCTGACCGCCCGGGCCTGCGGAAGGGACCGCAGGGACAGTGTTTCTGCATGCCCACCCCCGGGACCCTTGGGGCTCCAGCAGCCCCATGCCCGCGTCTCTGCTGGGGGCCCAGCTCTGCCCACGCGTGCGTGGGGCGTGTCCCCGACATCCCTGCCCTGAGCCGCTCACCCAGTCGAGTGTTCGGGTTTAATCCAAACAAAACAGAGACTGAGTCCTCCAAGGCACCAACCACCGCGGCTCCGGGTTGAACCCTGCTGGTTCCGGGGGCGGCCGGGGCGGGGTCCAGGTTGAGCCCACCACCAGCACCCTCGGCCCCCGCTGCTGTGACTCCTGCCAGCACCCTCCTGGGTCAGGGGAGCACCGGCTCCTCCCCTCCCCTGGGCCCGCTGCCCCACACGGCACCGAAGACCCAACGCTGCCGCCGCCTCCAGGAAGCCCTCCACAGTTCTACCAGGCAGGCAGGCAGGCAGGCAGCCCCCTCTCTGCTCGGGGTGTCCCCATGGGACTGCACCAACCGCGATTGCGGCGGTGCTCAGTAGGGTGAGTGGAGAGGCCAGGGGGCGCCCTGCCCCACCCAGAGGGGTGGGAGTCTGCGGGAGACCAGGAGGGAGCCACGCAGCAGCCACAGCTGGTCCCCGGGCGGCCACCTAGAGCCATGGGTGTAGCACAGAGATATGGTAGCTGTGTCTCTGAGCCTCAGTTTCCCCTGTGAGAGGCACCACTCTCAATTCCTCCACTGCCCGTGTCGGAGCCGCCGACAGGGCCGTGCTGAGGAGCGAGGCTGCGGCCTCCCGTGGACACGAGCGACTTGGAGGACAGGAGTCCGGCCAGGGCCAGCGTGGACGGCAGTGGGGGGAGGCTCACAGCCCTGAGACGGGTGCACCAGGAGGCGGCTGCTCACGCCCAGCCCGTCCACGCTCCTCAGAGCCCTGTCCTCCCTTGGAGCCTCCGTTCCCCTCAGAGTCCCCGTGCTCCCAAGAGCCCCCGTCCTCCTCAGAGCCCCGCACCCCGCCCAGGGCCTTTGCCTCATGACCTGCTTCTGACAGACCCCCAGCTAGGCCTGCCCTGGAGGACAGCAGGAGGGGAGTGGGGTGCCCGGGTGAGGGGACACGCTGGGGAGTCAGCCCAGACGCTCACCTGCTGTGTTACTCTGAGCATGGGACCGACCCTCTCTGGGCCAGAGCCCCCGCGGGAGATGAGACAGGCTGCAGGGACCACAAAGACGTGCCCCCCGGCCCTCCACGGGTAAGGGATGGGACCAGAGTGTGCGGGGCCGCGGCCGGCCAGGCCTCAGGACCCAGGGCCTTCCCTGGGCGTGGTGACCACCGTGTGCCCTGGGTGGAGCGTCAGCGTGGAAGCGCGTCCCGGCTCCCTGCAGAGATGGGGGGGGGGGCGTGGACGCAGGGGCAGCTGGAGCCCAGGACCCCCAGCCCAGACCCCAGCTCAGACCCCCTGCCCAGACCCACAGCCCTCACGGGAGTGGGGCTCAGCTGGGTCGCTTCTCACACCCAGGGCCCAGCAAGTCCCACCCTCTGGGGTTGGCAGTGGGCACCTCGCAGCCCCCAAAGCCCTTCCTGGCCCCCAAAGCCCCTCGCGGCCCCCAAAGCCCCTCCTTCTGAAAACTGCAGCAGCGCCCTCTGCTGGCCCAGGTGGGCAAACACCCGGGGGCTCGCTGCCCTCCGTCTCAGTCCCCGCTCAGGGCCACACCAGGCATGACAGGGGTCGGGCCGCACCAGAGAAAGGGGCTCTGGGGGACCGTGTTCAGCATGTGTATGCTGGCACCCACTGGCTCACACCGGGATGGGACCTAATTCACACAGACAGCTACAGCGCTGGGCGAAGGGAGGAGAGAGACAGAGACAGAGACAGACACAGAGACAGAGACAGAGGGAGGGAGAGGCAGAGAGGGAGGAGGAGAGGGAGGGAGGGGCACGGTGGCCAAGGCACTGGCCCCAGGCCACGCCCCTTCATCCCCGCCGGGCACAGCCTGGACCGTGCAGCCTGATTGGCTGGGCCTGTGGGCAGAGCCCGGGCTCCGGAGCACTTGGGAGGCCTGAAGCTTACAGGCAGACTAAAAGCCAAGGAGCCAGGTGAGCGCTGAGGGGCGGGAGGGCCAGCGACCCGCCCTGACTCCTGGCCCAGACCGTCCTGGGCGTGGGCACTGCCCTTGACAGATCAGGAGGGGGGTGGTGGGCAGGGCCCGGCCGAGCACAGGGACCCACGCCAAGGGCGACCAGCGCGACCCCCGCCAGGCGAATGCCCCGGCCCTGAGTCAGCGCGGAGGTGTCTGTGGCAGCCGGCTCGCTCCTGTCCCTCCCTGTCCCTCCCTGTTCCCCCCTGTCCCCGGAATGTCCAGGCGTCTGCTGCTGAGGCCCTCGGCTCCCTTGACGTTCCAAAAATAAATTCCCAGAAGGGGACCCAGCAGCACGTCTGTGCCCCCCACGCCCCCCGCTGCCACGGAACCCCTTCTGCTCTGGGACCCCGCCCCACCCCAGACCCCTCCCAGGAAGCAGCGCCCCTGCCCCAGGACTGGGGTGAAGGGACCCGCCAGGACTCTGAGAGGGGAGGGGAGAGGAGGGGAAAGAAGGGGTGGGGGAGGGGAGGGCGGGGGACCAGGAGGGAGAGGAGAGAGAGAAGGGGAGGGGAGGAAAGGGAAGAGGAGGGGAGGGGAGGGTGAGGAGGTCCCAGGGGCTGCTGCGTGCCCGGCAAGTGGCTCCTAAGCCAGCATGTGACTCAGTGCTCCCAAGCTGAGCTGGGCGGGTGCCAGCCTCCCCTAGCGCACCCCCCGTCCCCCCCCCCCAGATCCCCCACGCACTCAGGAAATGAGCCGCTCCCCATGCACGGGTCAGAGGCAAGTGCTGGCAAGGGTTCAGGTGACAGGACCCATGGCTCTGACACACGGGCCCATTAAGGGACATCAGGGCAGGAAGGACAGAGCCTCCAGGGCAGGTCTCTGGGCCAAGCCGAACACGCTCGCCCTAGCAAGCACGCCCTCCCCCCAGCTCGGGGAGGGCCAGGTGTGGCTCGTGTTCCGGAGTGTGAGCAGTGCTCCTGATTCACTGACTGGGACGTCCCAACAATAAACCAAGGTTCCTGTCTCTAAGCTGAGGACTTTCCCTCCAGCAGGGATCGTGCCAGTGGGTGCCCAGAGGAGCAGCCTAGGGAAGTAGGTGCTGGAAGAGCAGAGGTTTGGAAGCAGGAGAGGGCGAATGGGGCTGGCCGCTGGCTGGGACCATGGACAGGTGGGTGGATGGACGGATGACGGGCAGATGCCAGGTGGATGGGTGGGAGGGTGAGCAGGTGGGTGGATGGATGGATGGACAGGTGGATGGGTGGGTGGATGGGTGTGTGGATGGATGGATGGATGGATGGATGGATGGATGGATGGATGGATGGATGGACAGGTGGATGAGTGGGTGGATGGTTGGGTGGATGGATGGATGGATGGATGAATGGACAGGTGGATGAGTGGGTGGATGGTTGGGTGGGTGGATGGATGGATGGATGGATGGATGGATGGATGGATGGACAGGTGGATGAGTGGGTGGATGGTTGGGTGGATGGATGGATGGACAGATGGGTGGATGGACAGATGGGTGAATGGTTGGGTGGATGGTTGGGGATGAATGGGTGGATGGGTGGATGGGTGGGTGGATGGGTGGGTTATGGGCAGCTGACCAGCGAGCTGAATAAACAGATGGTGTGGATTCATATCAGTGATGGATGACTGGGTAGCTGAATAGACAGGGAGAGAGATGGGTTTAAGGGAGGAAAACCACTTCTAGTCCTTGGATGCAGCCGGGGGTGCTCAGCTGCCCCTCAGCACACTCCCTCTCTGCCCCCAGCAGTCCGTCCCTCAGCCACTGGCCGGCCCACGCTACCCCAGCCCAGGCCTCCTCCAGGAGGCCACCTCAGGCCGAGCTCACGCGCCCAGGGGTGCACCCAGCCCCCCGTCCCGTCCTTCCCTGGCAGCTCGCATCCATGTCAGACCCCTTAGCTGCGCCCCAGGGTCCTTCCCGGGGTTGCTCTTACTGCCCTTCTCCCCAGGGCCCCGGGCAGCCCGGGGCTCTGTCCTGCCTCCACCTCCCCCCCGATGCAATGCGGTCCCGGGGCCCCGGGGACCTGACTGGGCCCCTTCCTGCCCTGCAGGTGGACTTTGAGGACGTGATCGCGGAGCCCGTGGGCACCTACAGCTTCGACGGCGTGTGGAAGGTGAGCTACACCACCTTCACCGTGTCCAAGTACTGGTGCTACCGCCTGCTGACCACGCTGCTGGGCGTGCCGCTGGCGCTGCTCTGGGGCTTCCTGTTCGCCTGCATCTCCTTCTGCCACATCTGGGCCGTGGTGCCCTGCATTAAGAGCTACCTGATCGAGATCCAGTGCATCAGCCACATCTACTCGCTCTGCGTGCGCACCTTCTGCAACCCCGTCTTCGCCGCGCTGGGCCAGGCGTGCGGCAGCATCCGGGTGCTGCTGCGGAAGGAGGGGTGACCCCGGGACCGAGCACGCGCCACCCGCGGGGGAGGCGCCGCTCAGAGGCAGCTACGAGAGCCCAGCCCGCGCCCCGCCCACCAGGGTGCCTCAGGGGGCCCCAATAAAGGGCTTCGGCCATGCTGGGGGCCCCGTGTCCTGTGTGTGTCCTCGAGGCTGGCCGAGCTGCCTGGCAGTGACAGGCCCTCGTGGCCACCAAGCCCAGGGCTGAGCCAGCTGGGCATCCCCGGGGGACGTCTGTCCAGGGGCTATCCTTCCATCTATCCGTCCACCCATCCGTCCATTCGTCCATCTATACATACGTGCATCTGTCCGTCTGTCCAGGGCAACCTTGCTGGGGGTGCCGAGGGCAGGGTCCAGTCCAGAATCCTCTGGACACCCCCCTTGGGCCCCCAGACCCCCGTCCTGGCACTGCCCCGCGGCACATGGATGCATGCCCGCTCCCGACCCCCAGCTCTGCGCTCTCCTGGGCAGTGACCCTAAGACTTGGCCCGAGGGGGCGAGGGGTCAGGCATTCTCTGTGCACGAACCTCGATTCAAATCCCGGCACCACATGTGCTCACTCTGGAGCACGGACCCAGATAGCCCCTGAGTCCAGCTGCACGTGACCCAAAGCCACAAAACCAAAGGTCCGGGTCCAGGCTGGGGACGTGGGGGGGGGGATGCACCTGGCCTCCCCTCGGCTCCACAGGGAGTTGGACATCACCTGGGCCCCCGGGACCCCCACCCTACCTGCAGCTCCCGTGACATCACCCAGGCCGGACCAGTGTTCAGTGACCTGCATCCCGGAACCCAGGACAGTGTTCAGGGCCGGGGGTACCCAGTCCTGCACCTCCTGGGAGGCAGAGGCAGAGGCGGGAACGGAGAAGCCCCCGCCCGAGGGGGGACTGAGCACAACACCCCCAGTCCCTGGGAGACACCCTAAGTGGGCCATGGCACTGGCCAGGGAGAGGCACCCCATACTCAGCCCAGCACCTGGACCTCAGCGGCACCTGGAGGGGGCGGGGTGGGGAGAGACAGACACCCGTGTCTCACGATGCCACTGGCACCTCTTTCCTCCCCAGATGGACTCCCTAAGCAGTGCTCAGGGCGGTTCTCAGTGAACCAGACCCGTGGTTCTGTGCTCAGCCTGAGGACTGGCACTGATGCCTGAACTCACTCAGGCCATCCCGGGCCCGGTCAGCAGTGCCCAGGGCATCACGTGGTGCCCAGGTCAGAGGCAACCCTGGGACCCTTTCTCATCAGGAAGCAAATGAGCGACACCTCATTGGTGGCCACACAGCCACGGCTGATCTCAATGGCCCTTTGCGTGAACCCCAAAAGGTGGGGCGCCCTGACAAAGGGGCCTCCCCATGGCCCCCCAGGCTTCCCCCTTTGTCCCGCGCTGTCAGACTAATGAGACCCACGTTTCATACCCAGAGCTCAAGGACTGGCCCCTGGTCCCAGCCCAGAGGCTCCGGAAGTGCTGTGTGTCCCCAGGGCACAGCCGAACCCCACTGGCACCCCAGGCTCTCACACAGCTGGCCTGCAGGGTCCTGCAGTGACCACTTCCCAGGGTAGTGCCACGCCGCACACTTAGACCTGGTGGTCGTGCTGAGACCCCGAGAGTGAGGAGCAGTGAGTGCTGACGCCAACCACTCAGCGGGGCCAGAGCCCAGCGGGGGGACACCGGCCACTCAGCCGGCAGTGAGGGCGAGGGCACTGCAGCCAACCCGCACCGCAGCCCTGCTCCCTGGGACAGGGACGCCCACTCTGTGTGTGTGTGTGTGTGTGTGTGTGGTGTGTGTGTGCAGGTATGTATGTGTTTGTGTGTGTGCTCACCTGTGTGTGCACATGTGTGCATGTGTGTGTGCCTGGTGAGAGCACGCAGAGAGCAGACTGGTGGCTTCAGGACAGTGCTCTGTCCATCTGCCACAGTGCCCCAGGGGGGCCCGCACTCTTCCCAACCCCATCACAGCCTCCCGTGGCATCCCTCGGGGTCACTGCCCTAATGAGTCCCGGAGCGGTGACTTCGGCCTCCAGCATCCAAAAACGCGCCGACGGCTCCCTGCCAGTCTCGGCAGGGTTTTACCCATTTGAAACTCGGGCTCAGACTTTTCATTTGGTTACACTGGCACGTTCCACCCATGAGCACAGAACCTGGGGACTGTCCCCTTGTCCCAGCTGCATAAAGGTGTACCTCGGGGACCAGGGCCCGGGCACCTCGTTTGCCCCTGCTCGGCTTGGGGGTACGTGAACACAGTCGCGGGGGTGCGGCTGTATGTCACGGTGCGTGGATGGCACAGGGCGTCCTCCAGGGCTCACTCCCCCGTCCAGGCCAGCGTGGACACCAAGAGCATGAGTGTTGGGCTCAGTGTCTCCCTGCGGCGTGAGGCGGGGGCCCAGCTTGGCTCTTCCCCGTCTGTCTGAGACCCATTGTACAGTGCTCTCGCCCGTGGGTCTGGACCTGGGCCACCCACCCCCACACTACGCATGGAGCTGGACCCTCTCCCCCACTCTGAGTGTGGCTCGGGCCCTCAGGCACCCAAACCCCCAGCTCCTGGCCCCGCTGGCCCAGATGGCCCGTCCAGTGTCTGAGCGCCCAGCCCACAGAGGTCAGCCCAGAGAGCGCAGGGTCCTGGTGTTTCGGGGGCGGGGGGGGGGAGCAGACGCCAAATGACGGGGAGCTTGTCCCGGCCAGTCCTGCTCTGTGCCGTCACTGCGGCTTCGTGGTTGGGGAACCAGTGGGTTTGGGGGAGGGGACTGTTCTGGGCCCCTGTGCAGAGTCATTCGTGCAAAGAAGCTGACCGTCATCGGTCTGCAGATAGGCGGAGAACGGCTTCTGTTCCCCACATCTCAGGCCAGGCTGTGAGCAGAGGTCTTCACGGTGCTCCTTCAACTTTTTTTTGTTTGTTTTTTACTTGTTGGATCACATCTGGATATGCACAGGGGTTACTCCTGGCTCTGCACTCCGGAATTACTCCTGGCGGTGCTCAGGTGACCATATGCGATGCTGGGAATCGAACCTGGGTCGGCCGCGTGCAAGGCAAATGCCCTCCCCGCTGTGCTATTGCTCCAGCCCCCGCTCATTCAACTTTTTATCCAGTGGTATTTTGTATTTTTCAGAGTAAACGTTATTTTCATGTTTGGGGTCACACCCAATGGTGCTCAGGGCTTACTCCTGGCTCTGTGCTCAGGGATCACTCCTAGTGGTACTCAGGGGACCATCTGGGGTGCCAAGGATCGAACCCCAGAAGGCTGCATGCAAGGTAGGTGCCCCACCGGTCAGGGTTGAAGTCTTACACTTGTTTTACATGTAATCCGTTTATTCTTCCTGAAACTGTTACAAATGGGTTTTCCTGTGTGTGTGTGTGTGTGTGTGTGTGTGAGAGAGAGAGAGAGAGAGAGAGAGAGAGTGTGTGTGTGTGTGTGTGTTGGGGGGGAGGTGTCTTCGGGGCCATCCCTGGCAGTGCTGGGGACTGTTCTTGGCTGTGTGCTCAGAAGTGGCCCCTGGCAGTGCCAGATGGAGCCCAGGCCCTTCAGCTCCTTTTCTGTACCGTTTGTTGCTGGTGTGGGGAACTGCGGCCGAGCTGGGCACTGCTCTGTCCCAAGGACCCCCGAGCGTGTGGGCCTGTGGCGGTGCATGAGTGCGTGGGGATGCCCGAGCTCGCAAGGACACGGGACAAGGCCACGGTGGGGGCTCCGAGCACCGGCTCCTTCCTCCCGCTCCCGGCCCGGGGTTCCTTTTCCCTCCCAGCAGCTTCTAACTGGAAAACATCACGCCCTGGACGGGACGATGGGCTCACGGGGGAGCCCGGCTCACGGCACTGGCCCGACGCGCGTGGACCCATGGGTACCCAGGGAGTCCCCTCCGAAGCAGCTGTGAGCCCGTGTCCCCTTGGGGCCCTGCTGGTGGCCACTCGCCCACAGTGACGGACAGCCCGGTACAGGGTCCCGGAATAAAGGCGTCCAGGGGAGATGGAGAGAGATGGCGGGTCCAGGCAAGGGGAGCTGCCGGACCCCCGAGGCCACCCGCCCTCCGGCTCGGGGAGCCTCCCGGGCGCGGTCAGCTCATGCGGAGGGCGGCTGCGGGGCGCCCGTGCGGCTGGAGCTGTGGCGGCTGAGCACGAAGGTGGACGAGCTGCTCTTCTTGCTGACGCTGGTGTCACCGGGCCGGCTGCCGCCCCGCAGTTGCCGGGCCGAGCAGCACAGGAAGCGCCGCACGAGGTCCTGGAAGAGGTGGCCGGTGAAGAGCAGGTAGATCCAGGGGTTGCAGCAACTGTTGAGGCTGGCCAGGAGCATGGCGATGATGAAGGCCGAGGCTGCGGGGGGAGGGCGGGCAGGTGGGGTGAGGCCGGGCGGGGCAGCGCCTGCTCCCCTCCTCCCACCCCCACAGCACAGACCCTGAAGCCCCTGCTGGCCTGGCGCCACCTGACGCACAGTTGTGCCCGCTGCACCCCCTTCCGCCCTCCGACACACATGCAGGTTCTCCCGGGAGAGTCCAGTCGGGTGTGTGCGGACGCTGGACCCCTGACCCCTCAGCCACGTCCCAGCTCCCAGGCTGCCTGCCGGCCCCGCATGGAGCTCCTGGGGGCCTGGGAAGAAGGGGTGGGGCCCGACAGCCCCACCAGGATCCCTGTCGAAGCCCTGCAGCCCGCGAGTGCCCCTGTGCAAGCGCCCAGGGCAGGGGGCAGACACTGCTGGTGCCCACTGGGGTTCCAGCCCGTCTGCGACAAATCAGTAACTCCCTGCAGAGACAGACAGCGAGGGCCCCGTCCCCGGCCAGGACGCTGCACGGGTTAATGAGGAGCTGGTGCAGCCCCGCAGGGGCCTGACAAGCCGCATGGGGAGGGGGACACCCAGGGGTGCAGAGAAGTCACGGGCAGGGGTGTGGGGTGGGGGGTGTCCGCATGCCCACCGCACCCCACACAGTCAGGGACTCGAGGGGAGGCTGCCCCACGGAGCTGGTGCCGGAGAGACGGTGAGAAGCAGCTTACTGCTTGTCACAAATGTGAGCTTTGCAGAGGACGTGGACCCCCAGCCAGCCCCTAACCCTGATCACTCCAAGCCGCACAGGCCTCGGCCCCCGAGGACGGACCCCACCCCAGAAACCCGCCAGCCTGTCCCGGGGCCTTCCTGGACCAGGCAGGAGCCGCCGGGCTCTGTTCCACAAGAAACTTCCAGCAGGGACTCCAGAAGCCAATCCGGGAAGGGGTCTCGCGGCGGGATGCCGCTTGCAAAGCCAAACACTCAGACACTCCCGGAACCACTGAGTCAGACGGGGCTGACGCTGACCCACTCAGGTACACGTGCCTGGTCGCCCCCAAAGCACAGCCACAGCAGACGGAGCCCCAGACCCTGCCAGGGGGCCACGGGGAGCCAGGCAGGGGCCTGAAGCTCAAAGGAAAGGGGGGAGCGGGTGCTCTCCGCGGAACTGGCCGGGAGTGCTCCCCTGGGGAGAGAAGAGGACTTGGCGACACGGGGCTGGGTCGGGAGCACGAGGCCAGGAGAGACCACGTGGGCGTGGGAAAGAAGGTGGACAGGCGCTGGGCAGCAGCTCGGCCCTGCCACGCACCTCGCCATGCACAGGGTCCTTCCCACACGCCCTGAGCAGGGGCTCAGCAGTCGCTTCTACCCCCGAGCCGGGCAGGGTGGGCGGAGCCCCGCCCCCACCCCCACTGCACAGGAATGACCCTCGCAGGGGAACCGGCCCGGGCCAAGTGGCCGCACACTAAGGGCACACGGGGACTCTGGCCGCCCTGGGAACTGAAGCCCAGCAGGAACAAGGAGCCTCCCATCAGAGGGGCCTTGAGGGGCCTGTGGGAATGAGATCCCCCGCCAGGGAGGTCCCAGAAGAGGAGCCCCGGGGGGGGGGTCCTCTGGCCAAGCTGGCCCAGAACAGCGGAGGACAGGGAAGCTCAGAGATGGAAAGTGACTCCAAAGGACACACAGCAAGTTCCCCAGGAGGGAGAGAGGGAGGGAAGGAGGGAGGGAAGGGAAGGGAAGAAAGGGGGAGGGAGGGAGGGAAGGAAGGGAAGGAGAAAAGGGCGAGGAGGAGGCCAGTCCAGCACCGCTTCCTGCCACCAGAAACCTGCGTGCCCTGGGCCTGTCTGGCAGCAGAGGAAAGTGGGGTCCCAGCTCTGGGGCTGAGGGGCCACGCCTGGCCCATCTCCGCAGTGCTGCCCCATGCCCGGGCTCCCTCTGCCCTCACAGTGCCAGAGGCTCATCAGCCACGCCCCATCCTGGGCCCTGTTCCCCCCAGGGAGGCCGCCTCCTACCTCTCGGGGCTCACAGCAAGTCCCCAGGCGGCAGCCCACCATCGGGTGTGCCAGCCTTCCCCGCCAGGCCACTGGGTACCGTCGCGAACCTTGTCACGGGTCGGGCCTGGTTGCCGCGTGTCAGCGACCGACCTTCACTGAGAGGGGGTCCCTCGGCTCGGGGCATATGAGGTGCGGTGCAGGGAACGTGCACACAAGGGAAGCAGGAGAGCTGTGACCTGGAGGCCCGAGAAGCGGGGGCGAGCTTCATCCCGGGGGTTGGGCGCGGGGAGCTCTGACAAGGCTCCCCACAAGGAACGCCCATGGCTTCTCCAGACCCGGCTCCTGGGCATCCCGCAAAACCCCTTTCCCAAGCCGCGTCTTTAAGGTCCTCCAACGTTGTTCTCAGGGAGGCAGAACCCCTGGGCGCCTGGGGGCCGTTCCCCCCAGCACCTGGTCAGTGGACAGCCTGTGCAGCCCCCACCCCGCCCCCCATTCCCTTCCGAATTTAGGCCGCAGTCTGCAGCTGGGGACTGTTCTTCACGGCCTGTCCCTGGCTGCTGGCAGAAACTGGAAAATAAGAAGAGCTGGAGAATGGGGCTGGCTTGAATCGAAGCATGAAATTAGCAGACAGGGCGTCCTGATAACCGGCCACTGACACCAGCCGCTGGAAAGGCCAGAGACGCTGGGGGCAGGCTGGGGGCAGCGTGACATGACCCAGCGGGCTCGGGGTGACCCCTCGGGAGTTTCAGTTCCTGCTCACGGGCTGCAGCCAGGAGGCCAAGGCTGGGTTCTGGGGCATCGGGCCGAGGGCGGAGCAGAGGGGCCCGGGCGTCTGCAGTGAGCGCAGAGGCTGTGCGACCCTCACTCCCCGCCTGCAAGGACCCGAGTCCCTGCCCAGGGGGTGTCGTGGGCTGCGGGACATGGCGGCTGCACAACAACACCCCCACCTGCAATGCCCGCCAGCACCCCAGGACAGTGAGCCAGGACCAGGGGGGGGTTCACATGCCCCCTGAACAAGGGGGAAGGGACGGGACCAGGAGCCTGGAGGGGCCGCTTCCCAAGCTCGGGGGAAGAGCCCCCCATTCTCTGCCCCCCTCAACTCCATTTTTAAGACACAGAGTGAGCGTTGGGGCAGCGGCTGTGAGAGTCGGGGAGCAGGAGAGGTAGCAGGGGTGAGGGGAAGCGAGGCGCCCCTGAGAAGGAGGGAGAAAGCTGGACAGAGGGGGCAGGGCCGGGCTGAAGAGGAACAGGGCCACTCCGAAAGGTCCTCAGGACAAGGCAGCTCCCAGGGTCCCGCGACTGGGCGAGGCAGCAGGGCGAGAGCCCGGGCACCCCAATGTCTGCTCCCGGCAGGGCGAGAGCTCGGAGTACCCTGATATCTGCTCAAGGAGGACTAGAGCCCAGGGCACCCCGACGTCTGCTCCCGGCCGGGCGAGAGCCTGGGCACCCCCATGTCTTCTCCTGGCAGAATGAGAGCCCGGGCACCTCGATGTCTGACCAAGCAGAACTAGAGCCCAGGGCACCCCGGTGTCTGTTCCCGGCAGGGGGAGAGCCTGGGGCTCCTCATGTCTGCTCCTGGCTCCCTACTTCCTCCAAGCCCTAACCTGGGACTACCATCCCGAGGGAGAGCAGCTGTGCCTGTTGTTTCTCTGGGGCCACGCGTGGCTGTGGGCAGAGCTCACTCCCCGCTCTGCTCTCGGGATCTGGGGACTATATGGGGCCTGAGGAATCACGGTCGGGTTAGCCACCTGCAAGAACCCTGCCGCCCTGTGCCCTGACAGCCCCGCCTGGAGTCCTGGGGCTGTGAGTCAAGCCACCCTCCCAAGAAGCCTGGCAGGAGGGAGGGAGCGGGAGACAGACCCCCAAGTGACCTCTGAGAGCTTTGGGAGAAGCTGTGCTGAGGGTCCAGAGCTCTGCAGGCGGGATCCCTGCTGGGGGGGGGGGGACGCAGGGGTGGCGCTCTGCAAGATCTGCCGTCCCTGACGCTTGTCCTGTCACAGGCCGGCCCTGGCCTGTTCTCCCAGGGACCCTGGAAAGGGGCCGCGCCCCGCCTGCCCTCCCCCGTCCCAAGGTGGGCTCTGCCACTACTCACCGCTCAGGCTCGCTTGGGGCTCCAGGCTTCCTGCCACCTGCCCCGCCCGCTCCCAGAGTGCGAGGGGTCAGCAGGCCCCAGCTCCCCGCTCCTGGGACTCGGGTTCAAAGCAGCAGCAGCTCCTTGGGGGGCTGGAGCCCGGTCGGGGGCGGGGCCAGCGCGGGGGCGGGGCCTCATGCGCCGAGAGCCACTGGGGCGTGGCTTCCCGGGGGCGGGGCCTCCTGGAGCAGGTCCGCAAGGACATCGCCCCCCTCCGTTAGGTGTGGCTTCGTGGGGGCGGGCCCACCGTGGGGAGGGGCTCTCATGAGGGCAAAACCCCATCGGGGCGTGGTCCCATGGGGGCGGGGCTCTTCTGTGGGCTGAGATCCATTGGGTGCGGCCTTGTGGGGGGCTCTTGTAAGGGCAGAGCTCGATTGGGGCGTGGCCTTGTGGGGGCGTGGCTCCGTGGGGGTGGTGCCTCGTGGGGCGGGGCCTTGTGGTTGTCGGGGCGGGGCCTCGGACGGGCCAGGCTCCCGAGCACTGGGCTGGAAGCACAATCTCGTGGATGTGAACCAGGAGCACTATTCCCAGCGTCTGGCCCCCCACCCCGCGCAGACTACGGGGCTCTCCCCGCCTTTCTCCTTCATCCCCGCCCAGGGCACTGCTGCGGCTTTCCCGTGACCACCACTTGACGGAAGCTCCCGGATGGCCTCGAGTCACCTGCCCACTGGGTCTGGGTTTAGGCAGGCTCAAGCGGCCTCCCGCAAGACCCCAAACCCGCTTCTCCCGCCAGACCCCCGTCCCCAGCCCTGCAGGCTCCTCTCCCCGCCCTCCCCGCTCCCTCCCCTCCCAGGGCGCCCCCACCCCGTCCCTTACCTTCCTTGGGCGCATCCGCGTCCCAGACGCTCCACATCTGCACGAAGAAGAAGGGCGTCCAGCAGACGATGAAGGCCAGCACGATGATGAAGGTCATCTTGACCGTGCGGATCTTGGCCTTGGAGATGAGCCTGACGCTGCTGACCCGCGCCAGGGCCGCGCGCCCCCCGCCGTCCTCGGCGCCCTCGGCCGCGGCCGCCGCCGCGGTCTTGAGCCGCAGGTTCTGCCAGATCTTGAAGCTGATGAGGCCGTAGCAGGCGGCCAGCACGATGACCGGCACGATGTAGACGGCCAGCGTGATCCACGTGATGTAGGCCTTGGGGCCCCAGGGCTGGATGAACACGGCCCAGCAGTCGAAGACCCCGTCGGCCACCTCGCGCAGCGAGAAGATGTGCACCTGCGGCGCGCTGGCCACCAGGCAGCCCAGCCACGTGGCCAGCACGGCCAGGCGGTCGGAGCGGCGGCGCAGCGCGCGCAGGGGCTGGCAGATGGCCAGGCAGCGGTCCAGCGACATGAGCAGCAGCAGGTAGGTGGAGGCGAACATGCCCACCACCTGCAGGTACTTGACCAGGCGGCACAGCAGGTCGGGCCCGTAGAAGCGGAAGGTGATGTCCCAGAGCAGCTGCGGCAGCACCTGGAACACGGCCACCACCAGGTCGGCGATGCTCAGGTGCTTCATGAAGAAGAAGAGGCGCGAGTGCTTGCGGCGCGTGGTGCGCAGCGCCAGCAGCACGCACGCGTTGCCGCTCAGCGCCAGCACGAGGATGAGGCCCAGCACGGCCACCTCCACGCGCGCCAGCGCCTCGTTGCGCCGCGGCGGCGCGGCCGTGCGGTTCCCCGCGGGCCCCGGGGGCGCGGCGCTCGCGTTGGCCGCCTCGGCGCTCCAGTTGGCCGCCAGCACGTCGTCCATGGCCCCGGGTCTTGTGGCCGGCTCCTGCAAGCGAGCCGCGTGGCGGCGGGGCGGGGGGAGGGGGCGTGAGGGAGACGCCGCGCCCCGGCACCCCGCGCCCCGGCACTCAGACCCCCTGCGCCCCGGCACCCCGCGCCCCGGCACTCAGACCCCCTGCGCCCCGGCACCCCGCGCCCCGGCACTCAGACCCCCTGCGACCCGGCACCCCGCGTCCCGGCCCCCAGACACCCCGCGCCCGGCACCTCGCGCACCGTCACCCCACACCCCGGCACCCTGCGCCCCGGCACCCCGCGTCCCGGCCCCCAGACACCCCGCGCCCGGCACCCCACACCCCGGCACCCCGCGTCCCGGTACCCTGCGCCCCGGCACCCAGACCCCCCTGCGCCCCAGCACCCCGCGCCCCGTCACCCCGCGCCCCGTCACCCCGCGCCCCGTCACCCCACACCCCGGCACCCTGCGCCCCGGCACCCCGCCCCCCGGCACCCAAACACCCCGCGCCCGGCACCCCACACCCCGACACTCCGCGTCCCGGCACCCCGCGCCCCGGCACCCAGACCCCCCTGCGCCCCAGCACCCCGCGCCCCGTCACCCCACATCCCGGCACCCTGCGCCCCGGCACCCCGCCCCCCGGCACCCAAACACCCCGCGCCCGGCACCCCGCGCCCCAGCACCCCACACCCCGGCACCCCGCGCCCCGGCACCCAGAGCCCCCTGCGCCCCAGCACCCCGCGCCCCGTCACCCCGCGCCCGGGACCCAGACACCCCGCGCCCGGCACCCCGCGCCCCGGTATCCCGCGCCCCGGCACCCAGACCCCCTGCGCCCCGGCACCCCGCGCCCCGGCACCCAACGCCACCACCCCGGGAGCCGCGGGGATGCGCGGGAAGCGCCACCCGGGGACGCCCCACGTCCACACAGGAGCAGGACGGCTCCGCTGGCCGCTTCCCGCTGGGGCGGGGCTCCGAGACCACCGTCTCCGCACACCAGAGCCCCCCGCGCCCCCCGCCAGCCCCCAAGCCCGCACCTCTCCGGGTCCCGCCCCGACAGCACCTGCCCGGGGCCGCTGCGGCCCCCGGCCACCTCCCCCCGCCTCCCAGACGCGCCCCCTCCCCCGCGCAGCCCACCCGAGCCCCCCAGCCCGCCGCCCGCTCCCCGGGGCGCCTCGCCCTGCAGAGCCCCGCAGCCCCCGGCCGCCAGCCGCGCCCCCCGCTCCGCTACCTGCCCCCGCGGGTCCTGCAACTTCGCTGCCCGGCAAGTTGCGCCGCGGCGGCGGCTCCGGGAGCCCCGGCTGGGCGGCCGCGGGCGGCGTCCGAGCGGGTGGGCAGCGCGGCGCGGCGGGCACCGCCTGTCCGCTAGCCCGGCCGGGGACTGGCGAGTCGCAGCAGCGCGCGGGGCGGCGGGGCCGGCGCGCCCACAGCGTCGGTCTGTCCGGAGGCGGCCTCGCCCGCAGCTGCGGCGCCGCGGCCGGCCGCCAGGGGGCGCGGGAGACCCTCGCCCAGCCGCGACCTGCGGCCGGGGATCGTCCCGGGCGCCCGTAAATTAGCCGCCCGCTTTCTTCCTTTCTTGGTTTAGAAGCAACGGGCGCCCGGGCACATGGGCGGCCTGAAGGCAGTGTTTTCCTCTGAGCGGAGGGTGATGAAGCTCCGAAAGCATCTACCCGCACTTCCAAAACACCAGGTTTGCCTCATCACTTCCCCGCCCCCTTCCCCGAGCAGGACCTCCAGGATTTAGCAGCGAATTCCAGCAGACCCTGGCCTGGGGGCCCTCCCCGCCGCTCCCACTGGGAGGAGTAAGGGGGCTCCTCGGGATCAGCCCCGGGGTGGGAGGGGGCCTGGGGGGCTTCATTCACTCATCAGGTGGTTTGGGAGAAGCTCCTAGGCTCTGTCCTAGACTCTCTGTCTCTGCCTGTCTCTCTGATCTCTGTCTCTCTTTTTGTCTCTCTGTCTCCTTCTCTCTCTTACACACACACACACACACACACACGCAGAATCTGGCCACTTCCGAGGGGTCCTGAAGCCCTTTCTGCCTCCTTGCCAGGCTGGAAGAGGAAACTCCTAAATGATGCCAAAGGAAGATGAGATGTACATTGTCCTGCGACGGACGCAGAAGGAGGAAAACGATTCCAAAAGGAGCGAGGCTTTTAAAATGTATTTAATGCGCACTTCCTCCTGACATTTCACTTCTCCCACTTTTAATTATGCGGAAAGAATCCTCCAGTGAGCTCAGGATGGGCTTCCCTGAATCCACAATTAAGCCTGTGCCAGCCAGCACGTCCAGGGACAGCCCAGGTACCACCCGGGTGCCCACCGGGCTCTGAGTGGGAAGATTGGGGTGGGCAGGCTGGGACCCCAGAGTGTGGCCACTCCACTGCTCAAACACAGAGTCCAGGGGAGAGCAGCAGAAGATCTTGCTGGCTTTATTCAAAGGCTGGGGGCCCACAACACCGCAAGACTTACACAAGAACTTCCTGTTCTCTCGGGAACTGTGTGCTGGGGTGAGGCTGGCAGCTGGTCATTGCGGGGTACATCAGGGAGACCCCCACCCGCTGCTAAGTGAGGCTCCTGGGGGTGGGCTGTGCATCCTGGGAGGCTGTAAAGCATCCGGCGACGAGGAGCACGTCAGCATAAGCACCAGAGGGCCAGGTCCTGGCTTCTGGGAACTGCAGTTCCATGAAGTGGACCCGGGACAGGATCCTGGCGTGAAAAACCTCTACTCAGAGACGCTGACCACTATCCCCGGTGGGGAAGGCCAGGGGCACAGACTGGAGAGGGGGTGTATGCCCAGACTGGCATACACATGGTCTGTTTGCCCACCCAGGGCCAGGCCGGGAGCTGCAGCCTTGGGGGTTCCGCTGTCCGGGCCCTGCAGCCTGGGTGAAGCGGGCGGGTTTGGGCAGGAGGCAAGGGGGTCTGAGACTTGGGTCTGTGGGAGGTGGCCTGGGAGAACAGCTGTGCCTGGGACAGCACCAACACCTAACATGGTCGCCCCTGAGGTCGTCCTTGGTCTTGTGCCTTGGGTTCGAGGATCACTCCTGGCATGGCTGGAGACCTGTGGGGTGCTGGGGACTGAAGCTGCGTGTGGGAACCTCACCCGCTGTTCCCTCTCTCAGCCCCACCGAGGTGTCCGTGCTGCAGTTGAGGACCGTGAGGTCCCAGCGCTGGTGAGGGCGGGCTGGCGGCCGTGGGGTTGCCGGGAACCAGCCCTGGGCAGCAAGCGCACTCGAAGACTGAAGACAGGCACACGACGGGGTGCCCAGGGCAAGGAGGGGGCGTGGCCAGCTGGACAAAGGGCCATTGAGGACAGGGCTGGCCTGAACAGGCCGGTGCCCGGGGGCAGCACGGCAAGGACAGGTGGCTTGCCCAGAGTCCCGCAGCCTTCGGGAGAGAAGCCAGACCCCCGCGCCTGTCTTCCTGGGACCAGCTCTGGGCCAGGACAGGCCCCTCTGCAGTGCAAAGGTCCTGGGGCTAAAGCTGGGGGGACGGGGTCGTGGGGGCGTTGAAGACGGATTGAGACAGTGCCTGGGATTACTGGAAAGGTCTGGACACAAGGGGACAAAGCTCTGTGCTGCCATCACCCCGTCCGTGGGGGGCGGGGGGAGGGTTCAGAGCCCAACCCCAGCCCCAGGCAGCCCTTCCACCCAGGTGGCCACCCCTCCCCCCTCTGGTTAGAAGGGGAAGCGTTTCTCTCGGCCAGGACCCAGCCTCCTCCTTTCCGGGGACAGACCAGGTGCCCCTTCCCGCTGCCCACTGGCCCCGCCCAGGTGGGAGTCTGACCCAGAGGTCAGCCGTGCATGGGGGCTGACCCGGGGCAGCCGGACTGGGCTGGGGAGCGGGTTCCAGCAGCCACCCCCATTGCTCCGGTGTCATGGGGCCACCAGGCAGGGGCCCTGACAGGTGCCCACACTCACCCCAGGTGATTCTCTCAGTCTGGGCAGGAGGCACGGAGGCTAGTCCAGGCCCAAGAGGGCTGGGTGGGGCGGGAGCCGAGAGGGGGTGTGGACAGACAGACGTGCGGACAAACGGGGGTGCAGGGAGATGGACAGACGAGGGTGTGGACAGATGGGGGCTGCAGACAGACGGGGGTCAGGGAAGAGCGGACAGACAGGGCCTAGCGGTTGAGGGAGGAGAAGGAGCGGGGAGGAGGGGCATAGGGGTGAGGGATATTCTGAGCAATTTCACACCAGCACCTCTCTCTCTCCCTGTCTCCCTCCTTCTCTCTCTTCCTCTCTCTCTCTCTCCTTCTCTCTTTCTCCCTCTCTCCATCTCTCCCTCTCTCCTTCTCTCTCTCTCCCTCTCTTTCTCCTTCTCTCTGTCTTCCCCCCCCCCCAAGTTTTATTTATTGAATCGCCAAGAGAACAGTCGCAGAGCCTTTCAATTTAAGTCTCGGTCAGTCATACAATGATCAAACACCCTTTCTTTCACCAGTGCACATTTTCCACCACCAAGAACCCCAGTATACCCCCCTCCCAACCACCCTCCCCCGCCTGTGTGGCAGATTTCCACTTTACTCTTCTATGTAGATCACATTCAACGTTACGACAAAAGACCCAACTTTATTATTTGGAATTTCCCCAACATTCAAACCTGCCAAGAAGACATCATGAGATCATTTGTTTTCTGTTGCTGATTATGAAGAGCATATGATGTCGTGTGGTCGCCTTAGCGGCCATGCAATTTTGGATTTCTGATATTTTAGTAATAAGCCTAGAGGGATTACTGCCAAAAGCCCCTGGGTTCCGAGATTGGTTTGTGTGCCTCTGGTCTCCCTCTTCTCTCTCCCTCTCTGTCTCTGTCTCTCTCTCCTCTCTCTCCCTCTCTCCCTCCTTCTTTCTCCCTCTCTCTCCCCACTCTGTCTCTCTCTCTGTCTCTCTCTCTGTCTCTGTCACGCTGGTTCTCCTCCTGCCGCCCTCATGGCCCGGCGAGCACAGCCCTGCTCAACGCCAGAGGGCAGGAGGTGGCGTCGGACCATCTTCAGACTCCCCCAGGCAGGCCCAGCGCAGCCC